TCTTACCTTACAGAAGGCAGGTTGATGGCAGGTTGCTGGCCGGTTCTTTTTTCATCAAAAAACCAAAGATAAAGTTCAAGCAAAGACAAGTCTTACCTTAGGGTAATTATGTTTCGTTGTCATAATTATTACTTTATGTTTGGTTTTTAATATGTTTTTGCTGTTTTATTATCTGCAGTATGTGATTATTTTTAAACGGGAATCTTTTTTTGCCTTCTATTCATTTTTTAAAAAATCAATAAAAAGGTGTTCAATCCTTTTATCTGGGTTACATCTAACTATGGGGATGGCTATGGGGATGGTGGAGGCCGGATAATAATAATTTTTAATGAAGTCCTCATTTTACATTTAAAATGCTAGTTTATCAGTAGGCTGACATTAAATTGTTCAGTAATTTGTCAGTTTTTTGTCAGTATTTGGTCAGGTTTTTTTGAATTTTGGTCAGTAAAATCAGTATTTTTGACCCTCTGACTAGTTTCCACCCCTGATTCTTCCTTCATAGGAGTAAGCCTCATCAAATAAAAGAGGACTTATTTCTGAGTAAATCAGTCTAGGACTGCAGTCTCAAGTCTTCAAGGTTTGGAATGACAGCCCTGAGACTAGAATGATGGTCCGTGGATTTGGAATGAGTGCTTGCTTTTCCAGGGCTGTTTTAACCTTCCAGGCCACCCCTAAGCAAATTTACTCAGTTGCAAGCTCCCTTTTATTCAGTGAGCTTGCTTCAATCAAGGCCTCCACTGCGGGCTCGCTGTTCGCTAGGGCTGCATATGATTGGGCTCAGAACCTGGCATCAGCTGACAGTGATGCACCAAAAGAGTACAAGGATGAATTAAAGAAGGTCGCCCTTGTGGTGGCTTTCGCAGCAGACACAATTCTAGATGTGCTCCAGATCAGCCAGGGCCCTGGCATGTAGTGTAATGGCGCGGAGAAACAACTGGCTCCGCCACTGGGATGTGGATTCTTTGGCACAAGCGAACGTGGCGGTGGTTCCCTTTAAAGGAGGGAACCTCTTTGGAAAGGGGCTTGACAGATACCTAATAGAGGACAAGGATAAGAAGAAAGTCCTGCCCTCAAAGAGGAGAGATGTCAAAGCCAGGAAGCGTTTTCAGCCCATTTGGGATCAGAAGAGAGGACAAAAGCCCTTTTACTCTAGACCATTCAAAGGAAAGTGGCAGTCTAGATCACATAGCAGCAAGTCCTTCACCTCCAACAAAGGAGAGCAGTCCTCCACCAAGAACCCCAAAAAGGGGGCCTCTGCATGACTCCAGTCTTTTGTAGATCGCTGGTGTCTTTCCGTGACTGATCAGTGGGTCATCGAGACTGTGTCTCAGGGCTACAAACTTGAGTTCTCCGCCATTCCCCAACAGCGCGTCATCCAGATCAGAAAGTACGCCAACAGGATGAAGCATCGTCAGACCAAAGACACCATACGTCACCTCATAGATATCAGAGCCATAGAGAGAGTTCCATCCACCCAGCGGGGGCTTCGCGTTTACTCAGTCTTTTTTATAGTGCCAAAGAGAAATGGAGGCACAAGAGCCATATTAGACCTCAAATGGCTGAACAAGCATATGAAGGACAAGAAGTTCAGGATGGAAACCCTCACATCCATACTGGCAGCAATTCAAGAAGGGGATTTTCTGACATCTGTAAATCTGGCAGAAGCATACCTCCACATCCCCATCCACAACTCTCACCTGAGGTTCCTGCGGTTCGTCTATGCGGGTCAACACTTTCAGTACAGGGCCCTCCCATTCGGGCTGAAGTCCTCACCGAGGGTCTTCATCTGGTGGCACACCTCAAGATGAAAGGGGTACACCTGTTTCTGTACCTGGACGACATTTAAATAAAAGCCCTGTCATTCCAGGACAGTGTGAGAACCTCTCAGATCACAGTAGATACTCTAAAGGAACATGGCTTTGTGATCAACCTGGAAAAGATTCACCTCCAACCTTCTCAAAGGCTGCTTCTCCTGGGGGTGGAGATAGACACAATTCAGGATCAGGTTTTTCTGTCTCAGGACAGGGAAACGAAAATCCGATCGCTGCTAACAGAAGTCATGGAGTCTCCCGCTTCAGAACTGATGACACTAACCAAACTTCTGGGGATGCTGGTCTCCTGTCAAGAGATTGTTCATTGGGCCAGATTCCATGCCAGACCCTTGCAAAGATCCCTGCTTCCCCACCAGGAAGCTGTTGCACACAAGAGACACATGCTACTGCAACTACCTCTGGAGATCCAACAACAGCTCTCATGGTGGCTAGCGCCTCTCGGATTCACACATGGGTCGCCTCTTCGAGATCTGCTGAGACTGATTATGACAATGGACGCTAGGGATGGGGAGCACACTCAAGGGGTCAAATGGTCCAGGGGGACTGGATAGCGGAAGAGACGCAGAAGTATATCAACTTCCTAGAACTCAGGGCGATACGCCTGGGCCTCCTGAGACTCAGCAAACATCTTTTGGGTCAGGATGTACTTGTCCAGATGGACAACATGACAGCAAAGGCATATGTGAACCATCAAGGTGGGACTCTGGTACGATCTCTTCACCACAAAGCATCCAAACTGATGACCTGGGCAGAGAGCCATCTGTTATCGCTGAAAGCTACACGCGTGGCAGGAAAAGACAATGCTCTGGCGGACTGGCTCAGCAGAAGGCGACTGGACCAGTCAGAATGGTCTCTGAACAGGGGAGTGTTCAAACAGATATGCAACAAATTCGGGGAAGTCAGCATAGACTTGTTCGCAACAGAGTACAATCATCAAGTCCCAGAGTTCTTCTCCAGAACATGAAACGTCCAGGCCAACAGAACAGACGCCTTAAATTGCAACTGGCCTCCAGGTCTCCTCTATGTGTTTCCTCCAGTACAAATCCTGCCCCAAGTCATTAAAAAAATCCGACAACAGAGAGTGGAAGTGGTGCTAGTAGCCCCCCTTTTGGCCACGGAGAGCGTGGTTTCAAGAACTAAGGAGTCTGTCTTCAGAGGACCTGTGGCATCTTCCAGTGAGGGAAGACCTACTGACACAGGGTCTCACAAGACCCCCACGCCCAGAGATGCTGAATCTCACAGCGTGGAGATTGAGCGGGAGATGCTAGTGGAGGTGGGCTACCCTGAGAAGGTAGTTTCTACCATGCTGGCATCCAGGAAGGCATCCACTAACAGATCCTATAATGCCACTTGGCAGGTTTTTCAATCCTGGTGTGTAGGTCAAGAGATAGAACCCCTTAGGGCCTCCGTTAGAATGGTTCTTCGTTGGCTCAGTACAGGCACACTGAGGAGACAGGTTTCAGCTATCTCGGCTGTTCAGGGAGTCAGACATGGGAAGTTACTCTATCACGCCCATGTTAAGAGGTTTCTAAAGGGGGCATCCTTGCACTCCTTCATCATGCCCACGTTAAGAGGTTTCTAAAGGAGGCGTCCTTAATTAACCCTCCACAGGTACACAGATTCCCCACCTGGAATCTAAACACATTCCTAAGGGCCTTATGTAAGCATCCCTTCAAACCTATGGCCTCTTGCCCACTCAAAGAATTGACCTTCAAGACCATTTTTCTGTTGGGAATTACCTCAGCACGCAGAGTGTCAGAACTGAGGGCCCTGTCCATCAATAAAGAGCTGTGTGTTTTCCATCAGGACAAGGTGGTCCTTAGGTCAGACACAGCCTTTGTTCCAAAGATTAATTCGGTTTTCCACAGGGCAGAGGAATTGGTTCTCCCTGACAAGGAGTGGGAGTGGCATTGTCTGGATGTCAGGAGAGCTTTGAGTTACTATATAGATAGGACAAAAGAGTGGAGAAAATCAGAGGCACTCTTTGTGTCCTTTAGGAAGCTTTGGATGTCAGGAGAACTTTGAGCTACTATGTAGATAGGATGAAGGAGTGGAGAAAATCGGAGGCACTCTTTGTGTCCTTTAGGAAGCTTAACTGGGGGGAACAGGTGTCTTCCGCTATTCTTAGTAGGTGGATTAAGGGTTGCATCATTCTGGCCTACAAGGCCAACAGGATGGATCCTCCAGACGGGATCGTGGCTCACTCCCTTAGGGGGGCGGCTACATTGGTGGCCTATTGTTCATTCCCTAGTCTGGAGACAATATGTAAGGCAGCCACCTGGAAATCCGTTCACTCATTTACTAAACATTATAGAGTGGATAAATTGGCATCAGCAGAAGCGGCCTTCAGCCGTAGGGTGCTCCAACACACTCTGTAAATCATGAAAGCAACCTCCCTCCCTGGGAACACTCTGCTTTTTTACGTCCCAGAAGTAAGGACTGTCCCACGATCTGAACCACTGGAGAACGGATGATTTCACTTTCCGTGAAGCTTCCTTTCTCGCTGGTTCAGGAGTGGGACAGTCCTGCCCACCCATTTTGGGCTCACTTCCAGTTTACAGAGGAGTCTTGTAGTGTCCTGACAGGTTCTTACAGCACAGGGTGTGACAATTAGGGACACGATGTGGTTGGTTACATGTTTAATTTAACCAGTTATGTTAGTCTCTCCAGTTTGGGGGAGAAGTGCCTTTTGGGTGGGAGTAGAGGGCTTGAAGACGACTTGGAAGCCTCAAGGGGATAAGCCCCTCCCCGCCTGGATCAAAGCTCAGAGCTGACCCTGCAGAGGAAGGAGGAGCTTATCCCAGAAGTAAGGACTGTCCCACTTCTGAACCACCGAGAAAGGAAGCTTCACGGTAAGTGAAAGAAATCTTCCATTCCTTGCTCATTCAGTGTCTTCTCATATTGACTGTATCTACCTATATTGTGCTTATGGACTGTTATACATTTACACTGTAATCTCCTTTGAGTCTCAGTATAAGAAAGGCATACTATAAATATATTAAATAAAAATAAATATGAGGATTGATTGAACATTACCTGGAGAATAGTAAACATTTCTGAGCTGATAGAAAAATAAGAATAATTCTTTATGTATTCACAAAACTAACTACTTTGGCATTATGATCCAATAATTGTTCATTTTGATTTTCTTTTTTCTTTTTTTTCCAGGACAAGCAAATCAAGTAGCTAAAGAGGCAGCCAACAGATGGACTGGTGTGTATCTGCATACATTCCTTAGCAGCATTCTTGCCCCTTCCTTGAGCATAAATAAATTCAATGGAAGAAGCAACAATTTATAAATCTTTTAAATTTTTAGATTTTTGCCTAAAATGCAAGTTTTTTGGTAATTAAGGACGTGCTTACTTTAGTGTTTCACAAAATGTGCCATTAGCAAATAATAATAATAACAACCCTAGATATATAAAACAAAATAATTCTATTGTTCGTGGATTCACGAGTGTAAACTACTTACATCTGCTCTAACCTTAGTCATTAGCAGATGGATAATTGTCATTTTATCCAGATATAAGCCACAGCATATATTGAATTCCAGCCTATAAGTAAGGCACAGACTAGCAAACAACTTGAATTTAAGCCAGTACACCTTGAGTACATGATGGCTACCTTTTTAAAACCTTGATTGCAGAGTTGTTCCCACTTCCAAGCTCATGGCAAACTGTTCATATGAGACAGCTACCTCATGCAGTTCTAAGCTGACACGTCTGTTACCAGCCATCCACATGTTAATTTGAGTGGCATATTAACAGTTACAACTGCTTCATGTGAGTGCTTACCATGAGCCACACTGTTTTCATGAATCAGCTATTTTTAAGTACAAGTGAAATCTGAAAGAATGGGAAATAGGTGTAATATTAATTAAATGACCCCTTAGTTATGCTTCTTTATAACAAATGGTACAGATTATGACTAAATGTTGTAGAGCAGCTATTCTTTCTCATTAAGTGGTTTCATGTTATGTCATTTATGAATGGGATGTTTGTTTAACAATTAAATAGAGGCTAGTTCACTCTAGGGGTGTGCACACAAAAATGGTGTTTTTTAAGTTCGGGTATATTGAACCGGAAAAAGATTGGACTTTCCTGATATTCCTGAATCCCAATATCGGTTTACTATTGGGATTTGGGAAATATTTGAGATTGCTGATTGTTTTCTGACTCCATTATACTGTATGGGGACCATTATAGTCAATGGTCCCCATAGGCTAAGATGGAGAATCGATCCAGGGGTATCTGGGCCGGGGGGGGGCTGTTTTTGAGATAGAGGCACTAAATTTGCAGCATAGCTACTGGTGCCTCTCCTCAACCCCCCCCCCCCCACGTATAAAAAAAAGAAGAGAGAGGGGTAGCCCTATTGTCTGTGGGCCCCAGAAGAAGGTAACCCCATCTTCCATTGTTTCCAAAGGAGGGGCGGAAGGCATATAAAGGGATGTGGACTCGTTAAATGCCTTCTGCAAGCCACCAGTTAGTGAACTCCTAAGCAGTGGGTTCAACCAGAAGCTTTGCAAAAGGCATGAAGGAAAAAGCATTTAAAGGGAACCTTTTTTTCCTCCATGCCTTGCAAAAGTCCGTCTGATCCTGGGCTGGCTCCTCTTTGCACCTTGGTTGAAACCAAGCTGCAAAGGGGAGCCAACCACAGCCAAGACAGCACAGAGCTGTCAGCTCCATGCTGCCCCAGCTGATCCCCTCTTGTAGCTGCAGCTACAAGAGGGGATCAGCTGGGGTGGCATGGAGCTGGCTCCTGCTAACCCAACCAATCCTGGGCTGGCTCCTCTTGCTTCTCAGTTGAAACCGAGAAGCAAGAGGAGCCAACCAGCCCCAACCAAGGTAGCACAGAGCTGTAAGAGAGGATCATTTGGGGTGGCGCAGAGCTAGCAGCTCCACACCACCTTGGCTGGGGCTGGCTTGCTGTATAGCTGACCCGAATAAAAGCTGGAAAAAATTGACTTTTTTCAGACTCAGCTATATCAATAGCTGAGTACAGGTCTCTGATCTGTATTTGGCTGAAGTAGTACCTGAAAAACACCGATAAGGTATTTTTCAGGTATTTATTTGGTTCAGTTTATACCAAACACACACTCCTAGTTTACACACTGTTTTATCCATGCCCTGACCTGCTATAAGTAGTAGAAGTTACCTTGTAACACCTCCCCATTGTTTGGAGAGATTCCTTGCAAGCTCCAGACTTCCTATTAGGGATTTGACAGTATTGAGGAAGCTCTTCATGTAACAGAGAGGATTGCATGGTAACCAAACTTTACAATGGAGAGGTGGAAAGAGACTGACAATTGAGATGTCATGTGTAGTCTGGCTCTTAATACCATATTCTTAATTTTTAAAAAGAATTCTAATAGTTTGAACAATGGAATGAATCAATACTTTCCAGTTTCTTATTTCTTGAAAGCAGGATCCTCTTTTTTTTAAAATGAACATATTTCTTCACTTTGCCCACAGATAATATCTTTTCAGTAAAATCTTGGGCCAAAAGGAAGTTTGGATTTGAAGAGAACAAAATTAACAAAACATTTGGTATTCCAGAAGACTTCGACTACATTGACTAAAAGTGGTTAGTAAAGATGGCAAATAAATACTGTTCTGTTCAAGTGACTTTATTTTTATTGTGCAATTCCTTTTCCTTTTTCTAAAAACTTGGCTATTGTTTCTATTTTGGTAAATAAAATCTGGAAGTAGATTTTCAGTGTGGCTTTTCCTTCTTTCCAGTCCTCTATCAAACCAATAGCTAGTAGCAGGGATGTTTTGGTAGCACAGATTATACAATAAGAGTATGCACACAAAGAAATTCGGTATTTCTCAGGTTGGGGTATACCAAACTTGAAAAATATCAGTATATACTGCTATTTCCCAAATTAAATAATCGGTATTGCCAAATTTATTCAGCTCCCAATACCTTACCCTCCCTCCTCGAATTACTCCGCAGCTGCAGCAAGCATCAGGGAATGAAGGTGTCACGGCTCAGGTGGGGTGTCACCTGATGCTGCCACCACTCTGGTTCCAGGCTCCCTTGAGAAGGCCCAGAGCACCCTTCCAAGACCTTCAGATCTCCCTTTTGGCCGAATAATAGGCGTGAGGGCCAGGCAGAGTGAACAATAAAAATAGTTTATTTTATAGGAGGTCAAACAAACAAGGTGCGGAATAATAACAGTAAGTGGGTGAAAAGAAAAGAAATCAAATGCCCTAATGTGTCTAAATATATACTGTCCCTAGCTCACTATCTCAAGTGGCCTTAGCCTACTCACCCTTCCCTCAGGATGAGGGTTTCTTCCCACAGCAGCCTTCCTTCTGGCTCTGTCCTCTGGGAAGAAGAACAGCTTTCCCTGTTGTACCAGTTCTCTTATTCCCCAGCCCTCTTCTTCCCTATTCGACAAAATCAGCGCCAAAACTTCCCAAGGCCTTCTGGGATTTGTAGGCCCAGCCTCCTCCTACTGCTAGCCAGGCTCCTTGGGCCTAGTAGGCCTCTGGTGGCACAGCCTAGATCATGACAGAAGGGAAGGTAATAGTCCCTTTAAATACATTCCCTTTACTCCCAGAGTCACATGTCACTGCTGTGGTGTAACTCAGGGAGGGAAGGGGAGCTATTTATAGTTTAATTACCCTCCCTTCCCTCCTCGAGTTGCACCGCAGCAGTGGCATGCATCAGGAAGAGAAAGGAAACAGAGGGGTTTAAAGGCTTCCTTCCAGGGAAGCCGATCAGACTGGGGGGTCCCCGCCCTTCCCTTCCCTAGCTGGGAAGGGAAGAAAGATTGGAGAAGCATGTTTACATGCCTTGGAAGCTATTAAACTCCTCCAGCCATTGGGGGAGTGAAATGGAGAGGTTTAATGGCTCCCAGCCATTTCAGCCTGACAGCTGCGGCTGGTTTGCCTGTCAGCTGTTCAGTTTAAATGGCTGGAAGGCCATTGGCCATATGCTGGCCTGGAAGAGCTGTAGAAAGCCTCGAGGTAATGGTAATTTTGTCGAGATCTGTAACTTCCTAAGCTAAGGAGCCTGTTCTATTTTAACATCTGATAGAGGATGTATAGATAAAGGGACAGAGGAATTGTGTTTTACCCATTTCTTTTTAATCCCTTGCTCAATTTGGTGCTGTGCTAAAAGTATACTTGTGAACATTTTCTTTTTAATAAGTTCTTTATAACTTTGGATGCTGGTACTGGTTCTCTCTACCACATAAACCTCCACTGTCTTGGACATGCTATTTTAAAAGGAGCACCAGGGAGAAGGCAGGCAGTTGGCAAGCAGCTATTCCTCCAGGGAGTCACATGGCAGTAAATGGTTTCCATGGTGACCAGGCACTGGGCAGCGGAAGACACAGAGGCAAGGCCTCAGAACTTGGAAGGGAAGCTGGGAGTCCTGATCCTCCCAGCGAGCAGTTCCTTACAAAGGTCAGGTGGTGGCGGCGGGCTACCCAAAAAAGAGAAAAAAGCTTTGGAGAGCAGGGTGGAAAAGGGCCTGCAGGCCTGTTCCACCACAAAGTGCCATATATGTGTCCAACAAAGAGCCTTTTCAGACTTGCTGTATTCAAGCATAAGGAGAGGCAGAAGCTGCAGCAAAGAAATGATAGCAGCTGATCTAAGCTTGCTTATGGTATAGCTATGCATAGGAAGAGAGGAAGGCCACCCACTATCATCCCACACCCACTTCTTACCTGGATCTGACCTCCACCTCCCTTCATAGCGGCTGTTGCATACCAAACACAGTTATTTTGGTATCTTTGGTCTGCATGTCCTAGTTTGGCAGGCACGTGTTTATGCACATACTAGCTACCCACCACACAGGCAGATTCTTAAGATATGTGTGCATGCACACCTACATACCTCTGTAAGGTGGGGTACTGGAGAGCACACACAAGTTCCAACTAGATCCCGCACCATATCTTGTTCTTCGCACATTTACAACTACAAAGCAAGCAAAATAGCAAATGCTGTAATGAAGGAGATGCAAGGAAAAAAACTAATATGAGTTCATTCAGATAAATGGATGGAATTCAAGGAATGGATCCCTTCCCCTTCTTTCAGCACTATGCACCCTCCAAAACTGTTCCTTTAGTCAAGAGACCCTTGGGAACAGGTCCCTCATTGTGATTGTAGGAGAGAGAAATATCCTCAACCCTCTCTCCCCTTTAGCGAACTCTTCCACAAATAGAGTATAAGCTGGTACAAGAGGGAGAACAGGGAGAATTCTGCCTATTCCCTCTTCTTGCTGCTTTCCTCCAAGTTGCATCACATTCTTTTCCTGAGGGTACCTGACCCTATCAGATTTTTTAAAGTGGGGGGGTAAGGGGGGAAACATAGAATGCTGTAGGAGGAAGGGAGAGATGTTCTCTGAGTTCCTTTGGTTCAGACCCAGCCCTTTGTATCTACTGAACAGAGGTCTTATAGACAAACCATTATGCAAGGAAACAGTGTTTCTCATCTCTGCCATGTGTTTAGGCTGTGCAGGGTGCCATATTTCCCCAACCATATTAATAGCAGCAACAAACAGATCCTACCACTCCATTGCTTCTTTCTCTTTTTCTCTGTCATAGACAAAAAAGTACAGACAACATGGAGATTGGGAAAGGGCTGTGTTCTCCCCCCCCCCCCCCCCACATTTTTTTTCTGTAGCAAACCTGTGAGGTATGTTGAGATGTTGACAAGGTTGCTGAGACTCCAGGTGGATTACAGAATAAAGCAGAACAATGAAGCAGTTTTTAAAAACCAATGAACAGTGCAATAGGACTAGGATTACAGAATTAGAAAATAATGTGAACAATAAACTACCTGAGGCAAAGTGTACTACAAACAATGCAGAGAGTAGATCACAAGTTATGAGGCAGTGTAGTAAAAGCAAAGTGATACCTACAGTAATCATTGGAATATTCCATTGTAACAGAGCCCTGCTACAGTTTTAATCTCTTTTTTAAAAATGCCTTCTTGAACATTACTGTTTTGCACATTCTGTGGAACGACAGAAGTGTGGGAACCTTCCTGACAAGGGGTGAGCATGAGCCACATTTTTGCAGTTTGGTTTGTCGCTGAACCATGAATCAAACCACAAACTGATACACAAACCGGTACATGGGTTCGTATTGGTTCATGAGTCACTGAAAATTTAAAACACTGCTTTCTGCACCCTGCATCTTTTTGCTTGGAGCAGAAAGCAGGGGTTTAAATGGCTTCAAGCCATTTAAATCAAACAGCTACTTTTGGTGAAAAGCAGAAAGCCCCTCCTTTCTGCTCTTCACAAATCAGGAGATTTCTTTAATTACATAGCCACTATTTTCAAAAATTCTAAAACTGTATTGCACCCTCCATTTATGAGAATCAGATGCAGAATAATAGAGCCCTGAAATCAACTTCTAAGCTCTTGTAGTTCAGAATGACAGAAACTCATTCTCAACAGGATCAAGCATAATGAACAAATCTCCAGTGTGTATTTAATTGCTAAACAGAAGATTGGGGGTTTTCCCCCCTAGAACTGGGCAGCAGCACAGAAAAGGAGATGTCTAGTTCTTCCCATGTCATTTTTTCTAGCCTCAGATGGTTCCCTGGAACTGTGTAGCTGCAGAAGAAGCACATTGGAGATCTGTTCATGGATGTCATCTGGTTTGACTTTTAGTTAGAAATGAATTCCATAGAAAACAGTGACATGAACTTCCATTCAGTACCAGGCTGCTGGTCAGGAAAAACTACTGTGCAATACATCTGTAGCAACACTAATGGAGAAAATGCTTTCCTTTTTGGCTCTTGTGGCTTGGATGTACTATCGTCACATCCTATTCACATGCATTTCCTGTACAGCATAACTAAAAATGTAATTGGGGAAAAAAACCCATAAGATCTAATTTAAAATTTCTTTGTACAATTCCAGGTTACTAACAGAGTGTTTTTTTAAAAGACACGTTTTATGAAAAGCTGTCATATTAAGTGCTCTCAGAAGCACCAAATAAGCAAGTGGAATAAATTGTTGTCTTGTTAATAGCATAAAATAGTTAAATATATCTTTTGTAGTATAAAGAATTTTTACACCTTAAATCAAGTTTATGGAGCTGAATAGTACTTTTTCTCTCAAGCCTTGTTTTTAGGCAGGACTAGTGATTGTCCTAACATGCAGCCCGCGGGCCGGATCAGGTGCCCAGAGGGCTTCTATCAGGCCCGCAGTGAAACTGGCTGTCTCCTGCTTCTTCTTCCAGTTCTGCTGCTGCTGCTGCATCATAACTTTGCTTTGCCAGACTCTCTCAACCGCTCAGGAGAGATAGATAGGCAAGCTTCTGTTCCCAGCAGTGGCTGAAGCTCCTTCCCCTCCCCCTTCCATGGGGAGAGAGGGAACAAATACATACAGTTCAAAACAATTACAATTACGTACAATACTGTTATATATTGATGGAACATTGTCCCTGACAAGGCAATTTTATTTGCACATTTAGGACCTAAACTGGAGGGTACATATTATTTCCAGTACATTACAACTACTTCTGACACAAGGCAAGATATATTTGTGGCCCCAAATGGAAACTTTTTGGTGTATCATTCAATTCCATATTGGAACATTCCAATTTTGGTCCTATTTTATTTATTGTT